GGATCCCGCAACAGTACTAACTGTTGCCAAGCGTCTGGATTTTGGTCACATGATCACAGGGACGCTGCAAAGGTCGTAACTGTGAAAAACGGTCATAAGTCTCTTTTTTCAGTGTCATTGTAACTCTGAACAGCCACTAAATGAACTGTTGTAAGTCAAGGTCTACCTGTATACAGGTAAATGACAAGAAAGGTCCTTCCTTCCTTTCCTTTCTTCCTTCCTTCCTTCCTTCCTTCATTCAACAGGACCATCAACAATTTGAGCTCCTTTGCAATAGGGAAGACCCTGTGACTTCTGGCTTTTTATTCTCAGCAAGTCTTTCCCTAGTCAAACTCTGCTTTTCCCGACAGGTCCTTCGGTGGGTATTCCACAGAGGTTGTTAGCAGCCACGTGGAACCCCAAAATAACTTGATTAGTGTTTCTTTTCAGCCCCATTTACCTATGCAAATGCTTCGGTCATGGCTGAGCGGGCTCATCCTGGCCACTTACTTTCCATTAATTCAGCAGAAACATTGGCGATGCCCGGAGAACAGGTATTGCTTGCCATGTCACTTTGCCATAACCATTCAAGGAACAAAGCTCCTATTGAACCAGTTAATGACTTCGCTTCTTGTCTTCCCGGCCGCTGCAAATAGGATTCTGCAAAAACTGAGAACGTTACCATCGAGCAATGTGGCAGCAAGACGGTGTGTTATGATCCCTGCCTCTGCTCCGCAGTTCAAGCATCAGACACTAGCAAGGAAACATAATCTCTCTCTCTTTCTCTCCTCCTTCTCTCTCTCTCCCTCCCTCTCTCTCCCTTTCTCTCTCTCCCTCCCTCTCCCCCTTTCTCTCCCTTTCTCTCCCTCTCCCCCTCTCTTTCCCTTTCTCTCTCTCCCTCCCTCTCTCTCCCTTTCTCTCTCCCTTCCTCTCCCTCCCCCCACTCTCTCTCCTTCTCCCTCTCTCCCTTTCTCTCTCTCTCCCTTCCTCTCCCTCTTTCTCTCTCTCCCTCTCTCTTTCTCTCTCCCTCTCTCCCTTTCTATCTCTCCCCCTCCCTTTCTCTCCCTCTTTCTCTCCCTCTCCCTCTCCCTCCCTCTCTTTCTCTCTCCCTCCCTCTTTCTCTCTCTCCCTTTCTCTCTCCCTGTTTCTCTCCCTCTCCCTCTCCCCCTCCCTGTCTCTCTCTACCTTTCTTTCTCTCTCCCTCCCTCTCCCTTTCTCTCCCTCTCTTTCTCTCTCTCCCTCCCTCTCCCTTCCTCTCTCTCCCTCTCTCCCTCTCCCTCTCTCTACCTTTCTCTCTCTCCCTCTCCCTCTTTCTCTCCCTCTCCCTCTCCCCTTCTCTCTCTCTTCCCCCCTCTCTCTTTCTCTCTCTCTCTGCAACAGGAAGATATTCCTGCAAATTTCTGCTAATCAAGCTGCACTTAATGTTTTTATTCTTGTCTAATGGCAACCCCAGAGGCTCAGCTAACTAAAAGAATATATAAAAGCAATAGTTATTATGATGTGGCTTCACACAACATTGCCCCAGATGATGAGGGAGATCACACATGATATTAAGGGGAGGAGAGAAACATTGACAGAGGATTCAGTGAAAAGAAAGTGGAGATGGTGAATGAATAAAATACTCCCAGGCCTTGGAGTCTTTGAAGAAAATAGTCCTCTAGATGTATCGATGTTGGGTTATTGTAGTTAAATGCTTCAAAGTGTCCCATTTCAGGCTCTAAAACCAGCAATAAAACATGGTCCGATCAGGATGTATAAAATCCAGAGTTTTAACTGACAAACACAAGAAGGGAGCTGTTTTTAAGGTGAAAGTTTAAAAGCTGGAATAGCAGAGCAAAACTCCGTCATCAGATCAAGGAGATTCTACAAGTAGCCCTCAAGTTATTCATTTAATGACCATTCCAAGTTACAAGGCACCGAAAGAAGTGATTTATGACTATTTTTGCACACTTATGCAGCATCCCCGTGGTCGCGGAATCAAAATTCAGACCCTTGGGAACTGACTCAAATTTATGACCATTGCAGTGTCCCGTGGTCATGTGATCGTCTTTTGTGACCTTCTGATAAGCAAAGTCAATGAGGAAGGCAGATTCACTGTGTTACTACACAACTGCGGTGATTCACTGGGGCAAGAAAGGATGTAAAATGGGGCAAGACTCACTTAACAACCATCTTGCTTAGCAAAAGAAATCTTGGGCTCAGTCATGATCATAGTGGATAGCTAGAGAAATCCAAAGTTAAGGTAGGAGACTTCAAGGAACTGAGAAACTGGGGTTCACCCTCCCGCAGATGGCAGGATGAATGGGGGTGGCTGAAAAGAGGAATCAAGGTTTATCGGAGGTTTACAGCCCTGGTTAGCAGGACTTGTGCCTTTCTTCTCTTGGACCAGCTTTTTCCACCATGGACATCTTCCAGATACGCAAACCAACTTCCGAATTCCCAGCATTGGTGCTGATGGCTGGGGAATTCTGGAAGCTTCAAGTCCAGACAGCATCCAGATTGGAAATGGAAGCCTCTGACTATGGTTAACCCCGTTGCAAAGTTGCATTAAAAGCCCTGCTTGGGAAGTGTATAAAGCCCGAATACACGCCAGTTAAGTTTCAGAGAAACTTTTTCTTGTAGATCTTTCATTACCAAACTAGGCAACGTAGTCAACACTGATGATATTACCTAATTTGGTAATGAAACTTCTGCGATAAAACAACCAAGCTCAGAGAGCACCGAGGACTCCGCAGTTCAACTCTGAGCTATACATGTTCTCTGCTGTCAGGACCTTCAGAGTCCTCCAAAGTTCCTTTAGGAGACCTGAAGTCCAGTATTTAACAAGATCATTATCCAGCTCATGGAAATGATCATTTGAAGCCTTGAAGGGGTAGAATGGAATAGAATAGAATAGAATAGAATAGAATAGAATAGAATAGAATAGAATAGAATAGAATAGAATAGAATAGAATAGAATATGGAATGGAATAGAATAGAATAGAATAGAATAGAATAGAATAGAATAGAATAGAATAGAATAGAATAGAATAGAATAGAATAGAATAGAATAGAATAGAATAGAATAGAATAGAGAATAGAATAGAATAGAATAGAATAGAATAGAATAGAATAGGAATGGAATAGAATAGAATAGAATAGAATAGAATAGAATAGAATAGAATAGAATAGAATAGAATAGAATAGAAAGGGAATGAATAGAATAGAATAGATAGAATAGAATAGAATAGAATAGAATAGAATAGAATAGAATAGAATAGAATAGAATAGAATAGAATAGAATAGTGGAATGGAATAAGAATAGAACAGAATAGAATAGAATAGAATAGAATAGAATAGAATAGAATAGAATAGAATAGAATAGAATAGAATAGAATAGAATAGAATAGAATGAATGGAATAGAATAGAATAGATAGAATAGAATAGAATAATGAATAGAATAGAATAGAATAGAAGAATAGAATAGAATAGAATAGAATAGAATAGAATAGAATAGAATAGAATAGGAATGGAATGGAAATAGAATAGAATAGAATAGAATAGAAGAATAGAATAGAATGGAATGGAATAATAGAATAGAATAAATAATAAATAGAATAGAATAGAATGGAATAGAATAGAATAGAATAGAATAGAATAGAATAGAATAGAATAGAATAGAATAGAATAGAATAGAATAGAATAGAATAGAATAGGAGCTGGAATGGATCTTGGAGGTCTTCTAGTCCAGCCCCATGCTCAAGAAGGAGAACCTATATCCGTGGTGGAGAACCTACAGCATGCATGCCACAGGTAGCACGCAGAGCCCTCTCTGTGGGCACACGCACCGTCACCCCAGTCCTAGGCCTTCAGCTGGGTTTTATAAAACCTTTTCGCTTTAGGCCTCCGCCGCCGTGTACAAAAAAAAGAAAGTTCAGCCCATCAATCAATTTCAACTTCTCGCGGGGAAAAAAAGATTTCGCAAAGTTGGAATTGATTGATTGAACTTTTTAGTCCCACCCAGTCTGCCGTTACCACCGAAGCCATGCCCACCCAAAGGGTCACGCCCACCCGGCACCCGACAATACATAAGTGGGTTTGGGGTTGCAGTTTGGGCGCTCGGTGTCTAAAAGGTTTGCCATCACTGACCTATACCATCTCAGACAAGTGACTGTCTAGCCTCTTCTTTAAAATCTCCAGTGATGGAGCGCCCACGATTTCTGGAGGCAAGCTGTTCCACTGGTTGATGGTGAGGTGATTCTGTAGTATTCCACTACCACCCTTGCTTAAAGATTATAATGCCTTTTTTTTCATAACCCCCTTATTCCTGCATGACTGAGGAATAGCAGAGGCTATGCAAAGGCTATCTTCTGAGCTTGAGCTATGCTAAAGTCTGAGGTCTACTCTCAGTCTGAGATGGTACAAAAGGGATGCCAGAGGATTCCCTGGTCCCGGGTTGAACTGAGGTCCTAACCACTTCCAGAATCGTTCTAATCTGATGGTCTGAGGACGTGACACCTGCAACCCTCAAGGGGCCCGATTTGTTGGCTGCATCTTTGCTCTCGTATTCTTCTTCTGCCAGCTCAGATGTCAGCAGTAGATTCTAAATAAATAGAACAATAAAATAAGAGAATAATCTTGCCTGGAAAAAAAAGTCAGACAGGTCTGGGTAATGCAATGGTTTAGTACTGAGAATTATGATGTTCTAGAAAAGAAAGAGATTTTCTATCATGTAAGACACTCCATCTGCCCGTTATCCCTTATCTCTTGGTTCTTATGAGCATAGACTACCCTCTGGTGGATTTTTTGTGAAAAACCTTGCTAGATACAGTATATGAAGAATCACATCAATGCTAGCTAGCCTCAAACACCCATAGAACATAGGAGCATAGGGCTGGGAGTAACCTTAGAAATCTTCTAATCCAATCCCTTAAATGATTGTCCGGTCTATTTTTGAACACCTCCAGTGAAAAGCCCCTTGAATTAATTGTTGTCACCTTTAACAGAAAAAGAAAAGAAAAAGAAACATTTGAGAAAGCACTTTTAACATTAGGACTTTTTTATTCATCGTTCAAACTGTGCAAACCCCAATGTTTATAAGAACCAAGGCAACGTAAATTAAACCAAGATTGTCCCAGGATTCGTGCTGTTCGGCTAGCAATTTCAAGAAATGTGAATTGGTCACAGACGGCGAAGAGCAGCCGGGGAGAGAAAAAGAATGAAGCAGCAATGGACCTCTTTGCCTTCGAGTGCCAGAACATCAAAGGAGCATTTTGGAATGGGGGGAAAAAATTGGAAATGGTCAATACGAAAAAAACCCACATCTACACCTGAAAGCATCAGGGCAGCCAAGGGAGGAGTCTGCAGATGGATGAGTGTCCTACCTGGTCAAGTCTAAATTGTGGATATTGACACATGGAGCTCAGTATCAGATGGGCTACATTCTGTATCAGAACATGCCTGGAACATCACTCTGGAGACGCTGAAAGGTAAGAAGTACAGTTAGCATGGGAACAACATCCTACCAAAATGAAACGCAGGTAAGGTAATTGGCACCCAAATTTTGTATGCATAAGCAATGAAATGAAATTGAACAATATTTGAAGGGATGCCACAGAGAAGAGGGGGGTCAACCTATTCTTCAAAGCACCTGAGAACAGGACAAGAAGCAACAGGCTGAAATTAATCAAGGAGAGATCCAGCCTAGAATTAAGGAGAAATTTCCTATCAGTGAAAATAACTAATCAGTGGACCGGCCTCCAAAAGTTGTGGGTGCTCCACCACTGAAGGTTTTTAAGAAGAGATTGGACGGTCATTTGTCCTGACCGGTATAAGGTCTCCTGCAAGGGGTTGGACTAGAAGACTTCCAAGGTCCCTTCCAACTCTGTTATTCTGTATTCTGATGCTAATCCAACCATTTCATTCCAATGGAGTCTTACCTGTTCCTCACTTTATCCACCCTCTCCTGCATAGCGTCCTTTCTCATATCACTTGTAACGTGATATACTCGAGTTTGGCTGGAAAACATTAGGTATATTGAAATAAGTTTTAGTACTGTACAACAAAAGAGCCACCAAAGTCCAAAAATCACGTTCTAAAAGGCTTTCTTTTAAAAAAAGTATTTTCAAACTCCTGAGTAACATCATCTTTTCAGAAATGCATTTATTCTTATTCATTTATATAAAAAGATCTGGAAAATATTGGCCAGTGGCAATGCCATTTATATTTTGTTCAGGAAGTTGGAGACATTCATCTCACGAGGCAGGATATTCCATAGATTGGAGGTTATTCTGAAATGTACGTTTTTATATGTATTCCTTCTGGTGTGCAATTTGAGCTGCATCATCACCAAAGGCCTACGTTTGATGTCCTTTCCGTTCCATCTGCCCATCACTCTAGGAAGAGCAGAGTGGGTGGAAGAACCATTTCTAATGCTGATGGCATTTGCCTTGGAGAGGACAATTTCAGTCTCTCCTAATTTTTTTAAAATATTTTTTTTTTTCACTTGTCACTAAAGAGTTGCGATGAGCATTAGGGTTTTACCTCCAACGCATAAACTGAATTCTCATTCTGTCCTCCAGAAGCTCCTGACTCGAACTGCAGGAAAGTTTGATGTCAGACATACTTGAAAAGTCCTACAAAGAAGAAAAGAAAAGAAAAGAAAAGGGAGGAAGGGAGGGAGGGAGGGAGGGAGGGAAAGGAAGGAAGGAAGGGAGGAAGAAAGAAAGAAAGAAAGAAAGAAAGAAAGAAAGAAAGAAAGAAAGAAAGAAAGAAAGAAAGAAAGAAAGAAAGAAAGAAAGAAAGAGGCAGGGAGGGAAAGGAAGGAAGGAAGGAAGAAAGAAAGAAAGAAAGAAAGAAAGAAAGAAAGAAAGAAAGAAAATTATTGATATCAGACTTGCCTCAGCTTGAATCTCTAAATAAGAAAGGTATTGTTTACTAGAAGCCAAGTGAATTTCAATAATGCTAGTAAACTATACTTTTCTCAGTAAATGAAGTTAAGGATCGTTCTTACTTAAGAGGTTCAAACTGAGGCAATTAGTTCTCTCTCTCTCTCTCTGGTCATCCCAAGGAGTGCAGAAGGGATGATGTTGGTACAGATATAGTATACCCACCTCAGATTAACACATAATAATCTCCCTTCCTCTTATTTACAATATCCCTTTTAAAGTGGGTTGGGTTGAGATGTAAACTTGAGAACTGAATATGGATGGGAACTTGAGTGTCTCCAACACAGCCGTGATTTTCCAAAATACTAACTCTTGCTTACCAGGTACCTAATTATACTGTAGATGTGAATATACAATGTCAACGAACAAGCTTCCTACCTATGTTTATGTGGGTGTATATATTTGAATGCACAGCATTCCGGCTTTGCAAACAAGCTTCTAGTTTATTTTGGGGAGAAATAAATGCATTAAGTGTGAGCCGTATTTCACAGATTGTCAAACCGTATATCCACACAAACCTTACTATATGTTAAACAGAAGGCCTCCAGGTAAGGATTCAGCCTGTGTGTGTCTATCTTTGACCAAAATCGAGAACTGCAACGACACTCACTCAGAATGATCCGTGGACCAAAGGAACTAAGGCAGAAAGGTTGTCCTATCAAATTTCCATACAGGTAGTTCTCAACAGATGGCCACAACTGACACCACAATTTCCACTACTAAGCAAGGCGATGGTTAGGTGTGTCACACTCAATTTTACCACCTTTTTGCCATGATTGTTAAGTGATTCACTGCTGTTGTTATGCCAATTACACGGCTGTTACATGGCTTCCCCCATTGATTTTGCTTGTCAGATCTCAAGTAGGAAGGTCACACATGACGATTGTGTGACCTCTTGCCACTTGGACTAGACCAGTGGTTCTCAACCTGTGGGTCGGGACCCCATTTGGGGTCGAATGACCATTTCATGGGGGTCACCAAACAAGGCTGTCCGCCATTTTTCCCCCTTTTCTTTGGCCACGCCCCTGGCACCTGGTGATGTATAAGTGGTTGGGGGTCACCACAACATGGGGAACTGTATTATGGGGTCACGGCATTAGAAAGTTTGAGAACTACTGGACTAGACAGTTTCTTGGGCATTGTCTCCCACCCCAGAGCATCTTGGGAAGCTATTAGCAGAATCTTGAAAGAAATGCAGATCAAGGAAATGTGACAATGACTGACCTTGAAATTGATTTCAAAGGAGTTGAGGATTATTTATCCAGCAGCAATCACTTTGCATTGTCGTATCTGTTTCCCATATTACTGTAGATGGCTTTCAAAATGAGTGTTTTATTCTAAAATCCCTCTGTTGTAAACTCAAAATTTAATGGGTAATGGGAGAGGTAGCTGACGATAACTGCTACAACTATTGTAAATACACGTTGACTGCCAAGGGCTCAAATTTTGATGACATGCTGTCACCATGGCAAGTCAGTTGTAAGCAGCGGTGGGATTCAAATAAGGGAACAACCGGTTCTCTGTGTGGAGGCCCCTTCCAGAAATTTATTCTGGGCCTGGGTAACAAAAAATTAGCTACCGGTTCTGGCGAAGTGGTGCAAACCGGCTGAATCCCACCACTGGTTGTAGGTCACTAGATAATTAGATAACAGCAGCGCTGGAAGGGATTGGGGTTTTCTCTTGTCTAGCGCTGATGATGTTACCTAGTTGGGTCATGAAACATCTGCAAGAAAACAACCAAGCTCAGAGAGCACCAAGGACCCCACAGTTCAACCCTGAGCTATAAATAGTCTCTTCTATCGTGATCGGCAAGTTTTTGAGGAGCAGTTTGAACCACTGCAATGCTCTAGCATTTTTTAAAAAGCCAAATGACATCATTGCAAAGATCTGGGACATCACCCTAGAGCAGTGGTTCTCAACCTTTTTAATGCCGCGACCCCCAACCGGTCGTAAATTGAGGACTACTCAACCGGTCGTAAGTCGAGGACTACTCAACTGGTGCAGCACCGTTTGCAGAATGGGACTTTTGGCGGGCTCAACAAGGCAGAGACAGCCTGGACAATTCCTATTGGCTTTTGAAAGCCAATAGATTTAGACTCTGTTCAAGAGAGTCTATTCTATTGGCTTTCAAAAGCCAATAGAATAAAAGGGAGTAGCACAGCTAAGGAAAAGGGGAAAAAAATGGCGGACTGCGTTGTTTGGCGACCCCCGTGAAATGGTCGTTCAATCCCAAATGGGGTCCTGACCCACAGGTTGAGAACCACTGCCCTAGAGACTAGTTCTTGCAAGCTACAGAACCAGCTATACCTTCTTTCTTCTACATTCTTCCCTTGGTCCCCTCTCACTTTTCACTGAAGACAAATTGGAGGTAAGTTCCTTACTAGGAGAAAGCAATGTGCCATTTGCTTTTCTGACCACCATCCACCTACCATAGTTCTCATCTTGGCTGGCCTCCTGTCTTCAAACTTCTCCCAAGTTTCCGGTTTGGAGCGTGCTGCTGCCACATCTTGGCCAACCGAAGGAAATGCTCGGACATCAGATCGGCTATCACTCTTAAGGCCCGTCCGGTTTTCTGATTTCTGCCTAAAGATCTTTGCAGCTTCATCTTCAACCTGCAGAGAAAGACCCATACAGGGAGCCCTCAACTTACAACCGGTTGCAATCAGCCAGTGGAACGGCTTGCCACCAGAAGTTGTTGGTGCTCCATCACTGTACAGACTGGACAGCCATTTGTTTGAAATGGTATAGAGCAGGGGTAGGCAACCTCGGCTCTTTTATGACTCGTGGACTTCAATTCCTAGAATTCCTGAGCCAGCTAGCTCAGGAATTCTGGGAGTTGAAGTCCACGAGTCATAAAAGAGCCAGGGTTGCCTACCCCTGGAGAGTCTCCTGCTTGAGCACAAAATTGGACTAGAAGACCTCCAAGGTCCCTTCCAACTCTCTTATTCTGTTATTTTGCTTTATTGACCACGTAAAGACCAAAGGGATTTATGACCCAGATTCAAATTTCCAAATTTGCATACACATACCTGGGGTCACGTGACCACATTTTGGGCACTTAGCAACAAGCCTCCATTTATCATTGTTTGCAAGTCACATGACCTCAATTTATAATTTTCTTTTTCCAGCAATCAACCTTTGCTTCCAGTTTTTGGCAAAAATATTCCCTAGCAAACAATGAGTTTGCTCAAGAGTTGTGGCATTTGCTTAGTGACCACTACAAAAAGGGTGGTAAACTTGGGTGGTCATATGATGACTAGCAAAGTTGTGGGCTCAATTACAGTTGTAAGTCAAGGACTAACTGTATATTGATAGGGGAAGAAACCGTTAAGCCAGTGGTTTTTCAGAACAAGGCACATCTTACTATAGAGCAAAACGAGATGCATCAAGAGAAAGCATTAAGGTTGGATCGAGCATCACAATAATCCAGAAACTTTTATTTTGGCTGCATGAACATACATTTATTTTCTATATATCCCTTTCTGCTGGCTGGAGAATTTTCCTGGACACCACTCAATCTAAATTCAACTTTCACTTCAAAAGCTATTTTGCACCCATTTCAGATTTAGTGGACCAACTTGTCTCCAGATGGTGTAGGTGCTCCAATGCTGGAGGTTTTTAAGAAGAGATCGGACAACCATCTGTCTGAAATGGTATAGGGTCTCCTGCCTGAGCAGGGGGTTGGACTAGAAGACCTCCAAGGTTCCTTCCAACTCCTTTATTCTATCATTCAAAGCTTTCAAGTAGATCAACGCTCATCGACAATGAATTATGTAGGACCAGGATAGTGTGCGCCAAACTAATTTTAGCCAGTGCTGCCAAATAGATGAAGAAATTAAATAATAATAATAATACCCTTGCTTGCTTTTGCCATAATAATAATAATAATAATAATAATAATAATAATAATAATAGTGGCAAAAGCAAGCAAGGTAGTATCAATAGTCATAGGCTCCTTGGGTGCAATCCCAAAACAACTGGAGCACCACTTGAACACCATCTGCATTGACAAATTTGCTATTAGTCAATTGCAAAAGGCGGCCTTACTAGGAACTGCTTCCATCCTGTGACGATATCTGTAATACCATCAAACATCCACATCTGCCTATCCCAGGTCTTTGGTAAGGACTCAATAGGTAGACAAAATGCCAAATCCAGTCTGAACACCTGGCTGACTGTGCGATGATCAATAATAATAATAATCTCAGAAGACAATGGTGTCAATGCAAGCACTTTCTTACTGTTGTCCAGAAAACAACCTGGGTATGTCCTTGTAGACATTGAAACTCAACCTTCTCGATCAGCTTCTTCTTCCAGATCAAAGAAAGCCTTCTTCTATCCCACCCACATCCTTGTTCTGTGATGGGAATCTCTTCCATACTGGCTACATGCAATTTCAGCATCGCTCACTTACCTTTCTTAGCCAATGCTCCAGTACAGTCACAATCTCTGGTTCAACAACAGCATCATCCTTAAAGGAAAAGAAAGGAGGAGGGGAAAGGAAAGAATTCAATAGAGAATCTTGTGATTCATCTTAGTTTCTTCTCCTGGTTCAACCCTCTTGTTCTAAGGACCAACCACCAACTGATCTTCTTACTGGATATTTCCCAGCTGGAAAAGGCCGTCTAGAAACTCTGCGGAGAAAGATGAATGCTGTCCATGTGGTAATTATCATCCCAACTCACGCTTAGAGTACCGGGGAAGCCAGATCCCCGTAGCCACAGTTTTTGCTTAGTATAAAGAACTTCTGGATTCTTCAAGTGAGAATGATAATTTTGTTGACCAAATCCACCCTATGCCAGGAAAAGACATTGCCTGGGAAACTGTGATGTCATAATAGAATGGAGAAGCCTACACTTCCATTGGCTGTCTTTCTCCAAGCAGGGAGGAGGGCTTTTTCTTTTGAATATTCTTTTTGCAGGAAGAGAGGCATGGAAATAATACAAGCAATACCTAACAAACATTTAGATCTTTTTATGACCTGGTCAATTATTTCATAGTATATAGCACTTACACTTATACACTGCTTCACAGTGCTTTACAGCCTTCTCTAAGCAGTTTACAGAGTCAGCCCCCAACAATTTGGGTCCTCATTTTACTGACTTCAGAAGGACAGAAGGCTGAGTCAACCTTGAGCCGGTAAGAATCGAACTGCCAAACTGCTGGCAGTCGGCAGTCAGCAGAAGTAGCCTGCAGTACTGCATTCTAACCACAGTGCCACCACGTAATACAGAATAAAATCGAAACTAGTTCCCTTCCCAACCCAGAATGTAGGGTACTGAATGATGGGTTTAAATGACAGGAAAGAGGAATCCAGTGAAATATAAATAATAAAGCAAAGCTACTTCATAACGATGAGATCAGTTTTTCAATGGAACCAGAGTTACAAAGGGAGAAAAGGGATCATAAGTTGTCATTCATGCTTTCATCTGGCTTTCCACCCTGAACAAGAGGTTGAATGGAAGGCCTATGTGGACTTTCCCAACACTGGGATCCAATGATTTTTATGAAAGAAGAAAGGAAGAAAAGATTTATGTAACATATGAAACTGCCGTTATTTTCTTAACAGATTAAAACAGAAAAAGCTTCTTCCTTCCTTCCTTCCATTTTCTTTTCTAGTAACCGGAAGTTGACATAAAAATGATCCACGGATGTGGATGAAGATAGAATGAAAGAGCCCATTTTTGTAAATAATAATAAAAAAGAAAAAAAGGAAAGACCCTTAAGTACTTGAGGGTTTAATAAGCCTACAAAAGGTTTATCACATCTCTTTTCAGACGTCCCACTGAAAATTGCACTCCTGCTATTATTTGGCTTGCTCCTGAGTGTCCATAGTGCTTAGTTGAAGGGGAGTGAAGTATCAAGGAAGGGCCTGATACTATAGGTTGACCACTCTTACTCCAAGGAGGAATTAGAGCTCCTTCCATCCCTGTTCCATACAGATGAAAGGGTTGCCATCAAATATAGCTCACCTGGAGAAGATATCTATCTCTTGTGTCCATTTAGTCTTTTCCAAACAACTGGTGGATTCCACAACTCTAGGAAAGTCATAACGACGTCTCAAAGTCATGACAGCAAAATGTATGAGTCAGAATGTTTTTCCATCGTTGTGCTGTTGGAGGCAAAGGAATTTTTACTGAGAGACTTTCGGGTATCAGAACTAATTTGCTACTGAAGTAGATGTTAATCTGACAGTACTGTAATATCTCATTTGGATGTTTGTTTTATTTTTAGTAGATGATCTTATGTGCATTTCATGCTTTAAGTTCATTTATGAAATTAGAAGGCTGGCATTGGCTCTGCTTTCATGCTTCACATTCAGTTATAAAATTATAAGGGTAATTGGATCTGCTTTCAATCACTGCACCATCGTGTGAGCATCTGAAATACGATGTTGTTTCAATTCAATTATGCAAATATGATACCCTATTGATGGGCAGCCATGGGCCAGTAGGAGGTAGGTAGGGCCAGTCCAAAGAAGATGGAGCTTCCCATCTTCAATCCCATCTCCCTAAATGTCCTTGTGACTTCTTTCTCAATTGATCAATGTTCAGCTTTTTTCTTTTTTAGATAATAAACTCTTCTTTTAAAAAAAAGAAACACATTAAATTTCAACAAGAGATCAAATACAAATGCCTGGAAGAGCATTCAAAAAAACAATTTTGACATTAGTTGCCTTTCTTATAATAATAGACTCATCCTGGATTTCGGAAATTCAATCACCAACCCCTACCAACCATGATTTCTGAATAATACTATCAGGTACCAGGAACCAGAATAACTCCATGAATAAGTCAAAGCAGCTTTTTTATTGTTGATCACCTATTTTGCAAGAATCTTCCCAGACTGACTGCATTCCCTTGGGAATCAGTAGATAAAGGCTTCAATGAGGGGGCCTTTGCCATTTTGTCCCATGGATGTCTATGGAGATTCTCAATCATCCAACTCATGGTTGTTCCAAAGGTGCTTTTTTCAAAGGCAAACTAGACTTTGAAAAGCACCTTTGGGACTTTGGAAAAAGACCTTTCGAACTTCCTTCCATGGAGTGACTTCAGGCTGGGACATCTTTTTACTCGTCTCTCTCCTGTAGGTGATTCCTGGGGAACCCACCACAAATAGAGAGCTTAAAAACCTTGATGCCTGGGAACAGTTGCAAAACAAGTTCTCTGAAACTGGACCTGAGCAATGCCCAACTTAATGGTGATTAGAGCAGCATATAAAGCTTAATAATCAATCAGTGTCATATCCACTCTTTCTTCTTTATTTAATTCACAGCACTTATAGACCAAGTCTGTCAAGCACAAGAAATCATGCATCCAGTGAATTTAAATGACTATAGGTTTATTATATGCTAATGCACTCTACAAGAGTCTTAACTACTAATGGTCAAAGCAAATTGGCAGTAGACAAGAGTCAAAAAAGTTCAAGGTGGGCTGGCCTTATATCCCTTGTGGGCACGAAGGAACTCAAGACTGATAGCCTGTTTGACCCCTCCATCAGGCTCAGCTTGGTCATCTCCTAGAAGTCCAAGGGAAGTACATGAGCAAAGATGTAGCAAGTATCTTACTGGTTATATGTTTCCAACTGTCAATAAACACTGGAGCCCTATTGGGGAACATCCGGGTGTCCATCCTTGAGAAATATTCAGACAAATGGATTATAATTTGGCAGGAAGAAATAATTTATTGGGAAACTTATGCACCATTCATTCTCTTCTGTTGTATTTCATGTAATGCTTCTGACTTGCAAGAGGTCTTTTAATTTTTTTAACAAAAGCCAGCACTGAAGCTTGCTTGTACTTGTATGTTGTATTTGTGTGTGATTTCAGAGTGTAAATCTGTGCTTCTTCAGTTCAAGTCCTCCATGCTCACCCCAATATCATACCGGATAATAGCAACAACCACGTTATACAAATGCAAAATTGGACACACTAGGAATTTTTTTTGCAAATGTTTATTTATATCAAAATACAAAACACTTCTGAAGCAGAGTAATGTTATGTGGAGCAATTAAATGATTTTTTTGTCTTGTAATCAATTCCAAAGTCCATCATTCTCCTACAGAATGGCAGGTTTAACATAACAAAGCAACACTGCCATAATTTTCTTTACAGGGTACACATCTCTTTTTCTTATTAAAAAAAGCAATAAAATAGTAAAATAAAAAGCAGGGGGTAAAAGTAAATTCATGAACATGCAATGTTACTGAAGGTGGAATTGCTGAGTAGGCTTATAAAATACCAGCAGCTGGAAAGGTTAAAGGCATGCCATCCAATTTTAAGGCAGGGGAGCATGTGTTTTAATTAACTGGCAACATTCTAGTTGCCCATAGGGAATAACATCAGCAGTAGAGAAAGTGGATTTATTGCTTAGAAGAATCCTCCATATTGTATGCGGCCAATAAAAGCCAAGTGTAAAAAGTTTCAGGAAGGACCAAAAAGCCCACTTCAGATAAACCAAGGAACTTGGCAGAAGACATGGTCTAGATTTGCTTTGGCCACATGAAGAACCTCCTCTAACCTAGAAGATAGGAGACCAAGGGATCAAACGGAACCCACATTCCTGGATATTATTACATCTCTTCTGGTTTTGTCATTCTCAGAACCGAACATGCTCCTTAGTGTTAGGATTATTTCTCTGTAGGGTCCTGGAGGAGTAGCTAATGAACTTGTATAATACCACTGAATCTCTAAACAAGTTCAAAAATTAGATGGCAATCCTATCAGATGCTAAATTCTGGTTTACCTGACCATGATTTATTGAATAAACCACACCGAATGGGTTGACATGTGGCCTACAAACCACAATAGGTGGAATCCATGGTCATGTATCTATCGATCTTGGTGGAACACTGGGGGTTATCCTTAAGCAACTGTATCAACCTTTCCCAACTTTGTGGCATTAGATATATGGGCCTTAACATTCCTGTAGGCTTCTCTTGGTTGACAAGTCAAAATGCTGCAAGAATATATTTTCTAGGATATAAAGGTTCATATATAAAGCCGCCACCAAACAATTTGCAGTGCATCTGTGGTAAGTTCTCTTTATACCACAACCATCCTTCACGTTTCTTGCATCACTTTTGCAACCTGTTCTACATAAATGCCTGGAAGTGATTGCCTTCTGAGTTTCTATCTGCTTCTTGTTTCAGTAATGGACCAATCTTCTATCTCTGTGTTTGGCTGGGGAATTCTGGGAATTGAAGTCCACATGTCTTCAATTTGCCAAGGTTGAGAAATGCTGTCCTATCTGGTTATTTCTTTTTGAGATCTAACCAGAATCTGGATGTTCCTCTGCAGCATTTTGACTTGTCAACTCATATCATCTAGGAAGCACCAAGTTTGGGAAAGTGGACTTACTTTGCCCTCCCAGAATCCCATTTGCTGCAAGCCACCTCCAATGTACTGTTTTATATTTGTGGGGTGCAGATACACCACACTTTCTGGTTTTTCTCTTCTTAAGACTATTGGGGGGGGGATGCATGACAGATGCAAATAGAGCAGACATTACCTTCACCTGCCTATTCTCTCCTCCAAGCAAAAATTAATTAGCACCAAGTCATGGAGGAAATTCCTTTTGTGCCACTCACTATAAATACAGGGCAAGGAAGCAGGAATCAGAGATATGGAACCAATTTGCACTTTGAACTTAAGTTCTTGGATTGCTCAAAAGGACCAAGGAAGAAAGCCAGCAGACACAAAATTGAGGTTGCCCACCATGTGATGAGCATCTACGAAGATTCTCCATCATCCAGGTCGTGGTTGTCCCAAAAGTGCTTTTTAAAAAGCAACTGGACTCACTTGGAGGTTGTTTTTTTTTCCTTGAAAAGGTTTCACTTCTCATCCAAGGAGCTTCTTCAGTTCTCTAAACTGAACTGAAGAAGTTCTCTAAATAGAACTGAAGAAGCTTCTTGGATGAGAAGCAAAATGTTTTCAAGGGAGGAAAAACCCAAGAGAGTCCCGTTGCCTTTTGAAAAGCACCTTTGGGATTATTGTGAAGAGCTATTTGAGACAAGAGGGAAAGCGGGGGTGCGAATAAGGGGATTAGATGTGCACCACCTGGTTGAAGGATAGCAAATAAGTCTTGGAAGTGCAAGAAGAGGAAGCGACAATAACTTGCACATCTAATCTTCTGCTGAACTTTAGAAGTGCCTCCTCTTTCTGCAGAGGCTAGCAAGTCCAGCTTGTGATTCCAACTTCTTTCTTTGCTGGTATTTTACTGGCCTTTACACAATGGAAGCAGAGAAAAACAATGCAGATATAGAGAGATTATACCTCTTGCAGATTAAATCTCATATAAGGCTTTGGTACAGCACCATTGTATCTTTTTTTTTTTTGGAAACTTTGTAGGAAAAAAAAACATACTGGAAAATAATGTTATTTTTTTTTTTGACAGCTTTCATTTCAGTAATCCAAAGTTTAAGATTAACGCTCCATATGCCTATTCTGAACTCTATTCGCCTGTGCGATTTTTAAAGTCCTAATAAAAATCAACCAATACATCTTTTTATACATTAGTTGGATAGTTAAGGATGGGAGAGTTGGATGTGTGCCAACCATGAATCAGCACACATTCTATTTGTAACCAGCTTTTCCCTCTCCCCAAAAAACCTCCAACAAAATCATAAAGGAAGTAGTGTGTGGGGAATTAAGTTTCCACTTTATTGTTTTTATGGATTTTTAAAGTCATCCCCTCCCCCCCATCCTCCCCCACCCATGGCTGCTCTTGAAACAGCACCAAAAAGCACCTTAATATGAGTTATACATAGTAATACTCAACATTCAAGACATGGAATTGAGGTCGCATGGCCTTCAAAGGTTAAAGTCAGTTAAATTCAATAGGTAAGACTTAAAAAATACATTTGAATGGTTCAACGAAAATCTTTTAAGAACATAAGAAATAGCACCGTATGGAAAGTCCATTTCGGACACACAAGAAAACTGAGAAGTTCTTAAGAACGTTGAGATATGTAGAGACGAAACATCCCACTGCATGATATAAAGACAGTGAGAAAAACATGTTGATTGTAGCATTCTGTCTATAAGAATATAGTTTGTCTCTTCTGTTGCTGTACCTGAATTACTTACAGAAAAACATCTCCTCTACTATTAATACATTTCTACAGATTTTTCCATCAATGGGAAAAGACCAAAATGATGCGTCACTCCAAGTCTTAACCAAGAGTGGAGTGTGCTCACACAACTTTTTCTGAAAAACAAACTCAAACCTAAAGACAAGTCTTTGTTTGACTGATGATTGGGTGGGACTCAGGAATAAGAAAGTCCTGGCCAGAATCACCAGCTTCTCTTTGCAGGAAGAAGGAAGTTTTGAATTGACAATGTATTAGATGGAACACAAGAGAATGGATTCATCAAGCACTCAGAAGAGACAACCCACAAATTTGGGTTGAATCTTCAGACATCACGAGTGAGACTTTCAACCAATGTTATCAGTTCTCTGAGGCCAGTGGTGGGTTTCAAATAGGTGAACAACCAGTTCTCCATGTGGATGCCACTTCCGAAGTCCGTTCTGGGCCTGGGCAACAAAATATTAGCTACCGGTTCTGCCGAACTGGTGCAAACTGGCTGAATCCCACCACTGTCTGAGGCCCAACCTGGACATTTCATGTCATTATCCATTTCAGCTATGGCGGTCCCACTCACTTTTAAAAGTTATCATTTCATCTCATGGGAAAAGACATTGCAAACGTGACGTTTCTAACGATGAACGTCCCGGTGACAAATAGCAACCAGAAGGCTGAGAGAATTGAGGCTGCTTAGAAGTTATCTCCCCAAATGCTATCGGGATGTGGTGGTAAACAAAACGCTGGCTGTTTTGTATTTGGCATTTTAAAAGCTTATCATTATTACTGCCGAAAGCGTGCTTGGTAAAGGCCCATGATATTTATTTCCTTCCTGTGATTACAAAGCAGGCCACGGAAACAAACCCTGTACACAACTCAAACGGAAGATTCCCACGCTCCGATACCTCAGATAATGGGGCGGCATAAAATACCTTTCCACTGTCCTACAGAAGCCAATCTCTTCCCACAAGCAGAGAATCCTACCATCCCTGCAGCAAAAGCTCCACCGAACACAATATTGAACTGAAAAAGTCTGTCTTCCTATACTCCTCGACTTACAACCACAATTGGGAGCAGAATTTCCGGATGGTTGTTAAATGAGTCTCGTCCAATTGTGCGACTTTTTTTTTTTTGCCACAATTGTTCAGCAAATCCCTGCAGGTGTTTTCAGTAAACCATGCAGTCGTGAAGCGAATCCAGCTTCCCCTATTGACCTTGCTTGTTGGAAGCCAGTTGGGAAGGTCACAAAAGGTGATCACGTGACCCCAGGATACTGCAACTGGCACAGGTGCCAAGCACCTGAACGTGAATCACATGACCCTGAGGATGCTGCGACAGCTGTCAGTGCGAGAACTAGATGTAATTAATTTTTTTCAGTGCCGTTCTAATTTTGAATGGTGGCTAAACAAATGCTTGTAAGTCAAGGACTTCCTGTGTTAATGGATGAATATGTTGGGAAGGAAGGGGAAGAGAAAAGTGATGGAAAGCGAAAGTTCAAAGCTAAAGGAAAGGACCCTGTTCAACTCTTGACACAGACGTACAAGTTGTACCACTGCATTCTCCTCCTACAAAGTCACATTCTATTCGTGACCTCTCTGATTTTGGGCCAGGGGGATAGGAATTGTTTTTTGCAGGACTATAAAGCCAACAGCTTTTCCTGCAAGAGTGGCTACTCATGCTTGGTTCACACTCCATACTAAGGCATTGTTTGCTTCACCACAGCCTCTTGGGTAAGCTGTAGTTGCTAAGTCATACATGCCTGGGCTTAGGTTACGTACCGCGTGGACCACATCATGGCTTAGTACGATTGTAAACCCAGCTGAGAGTCTCCTAAAGATGTGCACCACGATATGCATGGGTAGATGCAATGATTGTAGAGCAGAGCCTTGTAGAACAGAGGGAAGAACCACTGCACGGCTCTTTGTTCTGTCTCCCAAGGCCCCCCTCTATACGCACTCCAAATGATGTCTTCAAGTATACAGAGACAATATCCTAAGGCTAGCCATTGAGCAGTGTAGAAAACTATGCTACCTTCACTTATCTAACATTCTAGACAAACTGCTTACTGAATGGGTGAAAGCCCCAACAGTCCCTCCCCCATAAACGCAAAGAGCAAATCCAGAATGGAAACTTATAATCTTCCACCCAAAGGTAGGAAGCCGCAAATTCTAGAAAGTTTTTTTTTATTAATCTTGCATTCAGTCCCATAATTACACCTTTATCCTTAAAGTGGTGGGTACTCTGGGGTAACCCATGTTGAGCTCTCTAATACTATTCTGAGTGCACCGCCTAATCTTAAACTACTTAACTGCATTGACAAGGTTAGGAAGAATGTATTTATTAAGTGTACGCTGCTAACTACATGGGGATTCATAGAATTCAAGATATTGCCACGAATAACAAGTTCTTCCCAGTCCAGTAAGCTTCTTCTGGATGGTTATTTCCAAAGGGTACCAATTGAAACAGGTTGTGGGCTCTCCCCATTTCCCCTGAAACATGACAACAAGATGGAAGAAGAAGGAAGTCTTACAATATCTAGAAGTCCCACAATATTTTTGGAGGGTTGAATTCTCACTTGGAAGCCTCCTTCAAGAATGAAAAGCGATGCGATTGCAAAGGGGCATCAAAGTTTCCTGACCCTGTTAGGATGGAGATCAGCTCTATTCTAACCCACTTTGCTTATTTCATTCCCATTCCTACTTCAGTTGAACATGAGAACTTCACTCTCAGCCAGGAGGACTATCACTTTCATTTTCTATGTCAATGCGCCTTTGGGGAAGTTTGGAAGAGAATTCAGCTGAACATTATCTTTCTCTGAGCTGGGAAAAGCGTCCTAGGGCTACTGAGTAAGAAGCGAAGATCCCTTCCCTCTATACAGTGGAAGCTTCATTGCAGCACCTCACGCAATTAGGAGCACAACGTAGCCCTGGATTACAATACTGAAAGAAAACTGCCCACGCCCATCCAAGTCACAGAAGACAGGGGATGATGTGTGGAATCATCTACGTTGTTATTCCTATCATCCCTTAGCAACAACTTTCCCAATTCCCTCCCCTCCCCATTAACATTACTCTAAACTACCCACGACAATAATAATAATAATATAAAATGCTTTTCCTAACTTGCACCCTTGACAGGACTGTGTGGTGCTGTGCCTGCCAAATGGAACCCTTTTATCCAGCAAACTCAAAAATTCTTTCAAAACAGTTGATCCCAAGAGTAGAAAGTAAAAGCTTGGTTCTCCACATCAGGCCTCCTCTTTACTACCTTGACTCATCGTCCCCTCTCCCTCCTGATGCAGCAAACAACTGTTTGCTGCACAGATAAGTGCCAGTGCTGACAGAGCAAAGGAGAACACCAGAACTTCTAGAAGACCAAGGGGGAAGTTGCTGGGAAGGCAAGTGAGATGCCTTCATCAACACACAACCATCAGCCTTGCGATTCTACCAGAAAATGCCCCCAAACTATTTTTGCAGCATTTCCTCTGGAGCAGCCATTCAGTTGATGGACCTTATAGATGGCTCAGATTTAAAGAAAAAAAATAAGCCAATGGACCCGGAGTGTGGACACCGGAGTGCAACACCAAGCAGTTTTTTGTGTTGAGAAAAGGCAGGTGCCAACTGTTATGGCAATTTTCCTGGTCTGCGAGCTGCATTCAGCATTTCAGAGGAATTGCACAATCCATCTTAGCTGTGACAATCCAACCTGCATGGTTTTGTATGATGCCTTTCTTGGGAGAGGCACACACTTGTAAGAGTGCCCTGCCTTCTAATCATGGGAAACTTTGAAGGCCAGGATTTTACCAGGCATTCCTTACACACTTCCTAGTTGACCTTTGAACTCTAATGAAAGAAATGAGTGCAACTATTTTAAACACCCTTCAAAAAGTTCACACAGTACATTCTGTGTGTCCTTTACAAAGAACTCTTCGTGATATACTTCACAGCCCCGATTTGCTCCAATGTCTATTGAAGACACCCCTTTCTCCATATTCAAACCTCATCCTGAAATGTAAAATGTTGTAATGACTTTCGGAATTAGTCCAACCCAGATACTAAAATAAAACAAAATAGTAAAATTAGCTGGGAAGAGGAAGTGTTAGGTGCCAACACATTTTTTTTAAATTAAAAAAAAATGCCTAGCTTGCTCTTGTTCTTTATTTTTTTTTCATCGTTAACAACTTTGCTGAACTTTTAAACATCTATTTACTTGTTATCTCTTTAAATAGTCTTTTTCATCCTCTATTCCCATCCCCCCACCCCACATTTAAAATAGAAATTAAATTTATCTTTATATACTTTTATATACAACACAGTTCTGGAATACCTGAAGAGCACATATTCCAAAGTCTAAACAGAAAATAGGACTCCTCTAACAGTTCATCTAAGGCAGGGGTGTCCAACCTTGGCCAGTTTAAGATTTGTGAACTTCAAGCTAAGGTTGGACATCTCTGCTCTGAGGGGTTATTTCTGTCATTCAAGGATATCTATATTTATAAGGGTCAAAGGACTAACAAAGGATTTCCTTTGACCTACTGAAAGTCTACAGTCATTGCTGAAATTCTACCTCAACTTTATGTCTCTCAAACAATCAGGACTTGCCTCAAAGAATCCTGGGAACTGTAGTTCTAGTAAAAGTCCTCTTCCTTTCAGAATTCCTTTCCTTGGCCTAACCTGGGGAGACAAAATATCTATTAAAGTGGAATTGAAGGCTGGGAAAGAATCATGCCTCAGAAGCAAGTAGAAACTGCTGGGCAAGATGCAACAAAGAGACAAATGACATTAAAATAACTTCCTATGGGAAGAAGATAAAGGTTTTTTTAAAAAAAGTTCTGTTGATATGGAAGAAGCTTTGTTAATACAGAGTTCACACTCGCTCTACCTCCACCCAACCCTGATTTACAGTCAAAATATTTGGCCAAGAGAAATATTATCTCTTGACGTCACTCATATAACTTGTACATCAGGAAAGGCTAGTAAATGCTCAGCTCCATCCAGTTGCTCCTACTCTATCCCAAATTAAGGGATTTCAGGATCGTAAAAAGGGAGACAAAGGTAAGGATGATGTGACTGAAATCATACTGGAGGTGGCAGCTAATGTTCTCAGTCTTCTCTGTTTGTGGATTTTTCCTGACCTCTGATTAAACCATTTGACAGGTTTCCTCCAAAAAGCACTGCTATTAGCAGAAAAGTTTCCAAAATACTCTATTTTTAAAGTGATCCTTCTCATATCAAAATATCTCCATGCAACTAATCTTACAATCAGTTCAGTCCAATTAAAGTTGCCAGCTGTGTTTTGATTCCTGTCTTAATTTATTACCTTCAATGCACATTCCTGCATACCCAATCATATTATTTTCTTCTGCAGGAACTGCTTTTCACACATGGTCATTTTCACTGACTCAATTTCTAAGGAAGTAGAGCGCAAACGTGGACCTGTTTGAAAACTACCAATTTCAAAGATCCACTTGAGAACATCCAACCTCTAAAGATAAGATTTTTCGAAACCATTCTCAAACGTGGTACTGGCAAGCACAATAAAAGTGGTCTTCTCATCACTAGCAGAGTTCACGGCCAGCAATCAAAGGCGCTCCTCCATGTACAACTGCATGAACCCACAACTGTAATGGAAACAACAAGCATTGGTGGATTAAGGAGATGAGAAAATCACTTTTCCTCCAGATCAAAAGAATTGTTGATCTTCTATGCTTAAGAAAGGAAGGATTTGATAACAGTTTATTGCCCAACTGATTGTGGAAGAACACTTTAATCCAGTGGTCCTCAACCTTTTCTTCACCACGGACTCCCTTTAAATACCTTTTATGGTGTGGCCATGGACCCCCAAGACTTAAGTCAAGATTTAAATCATAACATTTCTTCAAGCCTTCGCAGCCCCCCCCCCCGATGACTTTGTGTCCCCCCAAGGATCTGAGGACCACAGATTGAGAACCACTGCCTTAATTGATAAATAAAGGCCTTGGTCCAGTAAGACCGTGAGATGGTCTTATGGACACTCAAGCCAGATCATCAGGTTAACCATGCCATCAATGACAATCTCTTACCATCTGTGAAATGTCAAAGGCACCATGTGAGTGGATACAGTTTGGGTCAATAAATTCCTTCCAGAAGATTAGGAATCCCAAGTATAGTGAACATGCTTAATAACCACCTGGAAAAGGCTGTCCTGGAGACAACTTTAGTTGTATTTAACATTTGAAGCAGAGCTGCCCTTAAGTAAAATGAGAAATACATTATCAAGGAGAATCCCCTTCCCCAAAATAGTCTCAAAAGAACCAGGAAATTGTCACAATCTGTGGCATAATAAAGCTATGTATTCCATAAAGATGAACAGAGTCATTTCCTTACTTTGAGTTATCTCAGGGGTCTTTAAACTTGGCAACTTTAAGACTTGTGGACTTTAACTCCCAGAATTCTGGGAATTGAAGTCCATAAGTCTTAAAGTTGCCAAATTTGAAGACCCATGGGTTATCTCCATGCACTCAGATCTGGAATCTACTTGAAGTCTTCCAGAAATTTGGAAATAAGAAAACTGGATCAGGGCAGACACTGCAGTTATTTTTCTTATCTCTTTTAGCTGGCTGACAACTCCATTTTGCCTGTCTGATGTTCACAGCTCAATGGGTTTCAAACTTCTCTGAACCAGCCCATTGGTCTAAATAATCCTCTGCAGATCATAGCAGTAGATCACAAAGAACCACAAGGACAGACTAACACAGAAGGTCCCATTCCTCACCTCTGAGGGGACTGTGTGCATTTTTCAAAAAAGGTGAATTCCATTCTCCTGATCCCTTGCACATAAATGTTTTCTGCAAATACATCTAACTTCTTCTCTGATCTTTTTCTTTGTATATAGCTATATAGTTCTTATATGCATTTTTTTCTTAAATTAAAAAAGAAAAACTTTTCAAAATATCACTCACTCATCCGCACGTACATCCATACAGACTTACATATTTTTTTAAAAAAAAGCAAAACAAAACTACCAACTAGCAAATAAAAGCATTTACACTAGCCTGATTTGGAACTGCAAGCTTTGATCCAAGAGGATGCAAACCTCAAGACCTTTAGCATAATGGGCAAAAAGATGCCACGGTTTAGCTGTTCAGCACTTCTGAAAACGGAAACATTTGGCTGACTAGTGAATAAAAGTATTTCCCTTGAGGGTGGGTGTTATTTATTTCAAAAAAAATCTGCACTGTTTTTGCTGGTCTACATAAAATTTGTATTAACACAGCACTGAAATGGCACCAAAGCAAAACAAAAAACCTGAAACCCTGATATATTCCACTGTCTTTCCTTGCATTTCTTCATTTAATTCAAGGGATGCTGAAGCCAAATGCAATTCTCTTCCAACAGCAAAATTAGCCCAAGAGCAAAGTTCCCATTCATTTCAGTGCAATTCAATGTGTCCGGTGCACTTCAAAGGAACAAGAACAGCTGTCAACTTTCTGTGACATTCGTTAATGCGCAGCTGAATTCCAAAATCTTGGAAATCTATGAAGATAAAACATTTAGCACCTTAAAGACTAAAAATCGTCCTGTGCTTTAAGGGAAGCTGTCGCCGTTTAATGCGAATCTGAAATGAACGCAAATGTGTCCAAGGATGATGGCCTTCGCAGTTTTGGAAATGGCAGTGAAAAAAACGTTAAAACAGGGATAAAAGAGACCATAGCAAAGGCTGGCCAAATCATTAAAACAGCGAGGCTACTTACAGCTAGGCAAAAATCTTCACTTTGGGATTTAGCGTTCTGCAAAGCTATTTCATCGATCACAAGCGCAGAGCTTTCCATTATACTGTGAGCACATGCACATCCGAGCAAAAGCATCACACATCCAAGAAAGCCTATCGTGATCGCACATGCAACATTCAGCCTCACAATCCTAACTTAGTGATTCTGAGATCCGGGTGGAAGTCCGGAGGCTCCTCAATAACCTTAGGTAAGATCCTCTGAAAGTTGCCTTCTACACCCTTTCAAGAACCAACTTGTTCTTGAGGGACAGGATGATGAGGATCCTCAACAGATTTGACTCAACTGCTCTCTGCTCTTCACCCCGACTGCAAATATTCTCAAAGATTCCAGGATTTTTCAGCCAGTGACGAGAAGCAAGAGCTGATAACAGAGAGAATAGAGGAGAGGAGCATAACTGACTTGATTTTACACAACTTTTCCTGAGATGTGCTCGTGGCATGGTCTCACAGAGTCCACGTGCATCATCCCTTGGAACAGTTTTTCTTCTCCATCTCGGTGCCCTTCAGATGTGATGGAGTTCACCTCTATAATCCCTCTCTCAGCATGGCCAAAGTTACTCTGACTAGACCTCAAATGTGCAAAGCTCCATGTAAACACACCAAAGTTCAAAATGTTTGAAAGCTCCTTTCTTTGACCTATCTTTTTTTTTCCCATTTACAGATTGCTTTTGAATTTTAAATGAGAAATTTGTTTTTTTTTTCAAAAATAAACCTTACTAGTTTTAACTCTGTAGAAATACACTCTGTATGTATGTCTGCAGTAAAATATGGAAAAAAACGTCATTATAGTTATTTGCCTCAGAACATCAGCTCCACTTTGATCATATTACTATACCTGTATTAGAAAACAATAATTATCAATGTCTAGCAGTGCTCTAAACATACTATGCTAAGATAGGATTCATTTTAACCACATTCAGCTGACTACAGTATGCCATAAAGACCTAGTTAATACATGACACTAAGGAACAAACCATGGTTTACAAACCATATTGGCCAGCATTACACAACATTCTATTCCTAAACCAATAAATCAGATGATGGCTTTCCACAGTGGAAAGACTTATTACCATCATTTCAAGATATCTGGAGTGGATGGAGTGCCTTTTTTTAAGCCTACACAGTTTGTGACTTAACTAACTCAACTTCTTCAATGCATCATAGAGATTGAAAGATGGAATCCTTGGTGCTCTCTGAGTTTGACGGTTTGTTAGCACACCCCCACCAAAACAGGCAGGGAAAGCTACTGCTTATGAACAGGGAACAAATCCCACACACCCCTAGCACGGATGACATTACCTAGTTGGGTAATTAAATATCTGCAAACAAATTACCAAGTTCAGAGAGCACCAAAACACCACAGTTCAACCTGAGCTACAAATATTCTCTTCAATTGGAAATTTGAAAGATGCCCAGCACACTTTAATTGCATTTTGCACTCCAAGTCGACAAGGGAAAACGAAAAACATGAGGATTGGGGGGGGGGTGGCTTGGTACATAGTCAGTGGATTATACTTGACTTGACAAATATTGATAAGCCATTTAAACTTGGGGCATAGAATAATAATATAATTACATATCCCTTTCCATTCTTAACCAACGAGAGGAGAAGTCTCATTTTAGAAACTGGAGTTAAACACATTCTTGCTGCCGGTGTTTTGAATTTTTTCACTTTATTTTCCTTAATAGATTTCTACCCCAGGAGTTTAAACAGCATCCCCAGTGCCCATGTTTCACCACTACTATAACCTTGTGAGGTAGGATGGGCTAAAATGTCACTCAGTGAGCTTCCATGACCAAAGCTGGACCTGAACTCATGTCTTCTCATTTTTAGGTCCAACCTCATTATCAATGCACTGTACTGGCATTTTTAATTTAGCCTTTAAAACTTTTTTTTTTTAAAAAAAAAAAAGTAAAACTACCTTAAGGTATACTACTCCCAATCGTCCTTTGGACTAAACAAAATGGGCCCATCCAACCCCCCCTCCCCAAAATAAATAAATAAAAAACAGCAGTAAAAAATATCTCTAGCCTCACTACACCGAAAACAAAAGTGGAAAATAAAGACATATTCAACATAGCTTGGAAAGCTAAAAAAAAATAATGAGTCCCCGAGATTCCACAGAAGGATTGTGGGGAAAAAAGATTTGGGGCAAATCCAAGCTGAATTATTACTGATGATCGGGATTTTTGAATCCATTTAGTTCAGAAAGTTCAGCAGAATGGATGCAGAGGCCACCAGTTCTAAATTCCCTTTCATCTAAACTGACCACTTAACTCCCAAATCAGAAATGTAAAGGATTGGTGATCAAATAATTACAACAGGGATGGATAGCTATGGCCCCTTGACTTGTGAACTTCAACTCCCGGAATTCCTGAGCCAGCCATTCTGGGAATTGAAGTCTACAAGTCTTAAAGTTGCCAAGGTTGGACATTTTTGCTTTAAACGTTCAACGCACACACTAAAGGTACCCAAAGTAATATTGAAATCCTGATATTTGTAACAGCTGATTTACCATTAGTGCAATAGCCTCCACTGGGCTCTAAAGGGGTTGAAGAAGACCTAGGAGGTCCATGCTGTGGCTTGCCATTTGAGTGACAAATGACTGGGGTCACGTATGCTGCTAAGGCATTGTTCCCTCAACCATGGTTTATTGAATAAACCATCACCAGCTGGGTTCCAGGACTCATTCTCTTCTCCTTCACAATCATCACAGAAGATTCACACAAGCAGAACATGAATGGCTGACAAAGACAGCTGCCATATTATACACTGGGCAGCCAGCCAATTGGGGGCAATACAATTTTCTGGGTAAACCTGTGCGCAAAGTCATACTATTAGAAAGCAAAGTCCTAGTTGAATAAAGAAAGCTTGACTAATTGAACTCTTGGTCCAAGAATCCAAAACTTAACTCACTGGAAGATAATTCCACCAAAGTAGGCAGGAATTTTGTGAGCAAAACTCACAAAAGACTCAACAGGCAATATCCCATCAGATGAGCCTGGATATATATTTGGTTCTCACTCCTAGGAAGCTTTGTATCCATTTATATACATACATACATGAGAATCTGTGTGGTACAGGCAGATTCTAATCATCCTATATGGATAGAAGACAGCTGGATGACAGAGTTGGAAGGGACCTTAAAGGTCTTCTAGTCCAACCCCTGTTCTAACTGTCAGGAAAGGGGTTTTTTTTTAGTTCTAGGTTCCTTCTCTCCTTGATTAGTTTTCATCCATTGTTTCTTGTCCTGCCTTCATTCTTTGGAGAATAGGTTGACCCCCCCCCTTCTTTGCAGCAGCCCTTAGATATTGGAACACTGCAATAATGTCACCCTTAGTCTTTTTAATTAAACTAAACATACCCGATTTCTGCAATCATTCTTCATATGTTTTAACCTCCAGTCCCTTAATCATCTTTGTTGCTCTTCTCTGCACTCTTTCTAGAATCTCAACATCTTTTTTATATCATGCCAACCAAAACTGGATGCAGTATTTCATATTACTTTGGGCCAATCTCTCCATTCTAGATTAGGTAGTAAAAAAAAATAACTTTATATACCAACCCACCCTTGGCTAATATGGGTAGATCACTGTCCATAACCTTGAAGAACCCTTCTTCCGGCAGTGGATTGATTTGAGTTGAGGGTAACCATTATCTAATTACAGCCATCAATAGTCCAAACTGTCAATTTTTAAAAATGCTTTTGTTATGTATGGAAATGCTGAGGCATGGGCTAGGTGTAGTCCTGGTAATGTATTAAGTAATATCAAGGAAGAGAGTCTATTCATACCAACCACTTTATACTACCACATTCAAACCTTTTTTTTTTTTAATGGAAGCTTGTGCAGGTGATAAACTTGATAGCATAAAGTTGAAAAACACGCTCCATTAAGGAGATCAAGGTGCTTCCTTCAACTCAGCTCACAATGTATTGCTTTGGATAGCTAGACAAACTCCCCATGGTTTTTGTCTCATCCCCTGGCAATGTCAATCTAACTGTTCAGGTTACTATCCATTTCCCAACCTCTCGATAAGATTGTATTAAAAAGGAAGAAGGCTCTTGCCAATGACCTATATAAGCCTTATAAAGTGATAGTGGATTTTATGACAGCTCCATTCTCATGATCCTCCTTGCAGTTGGTTGAGATCAACTGATATTGTAGCCCTTTGGGGCAGTTGGAACTATTGCAATTGACCGATGGTAGGGCTCTTCTCTAAAAGAAGCCTTCTTCTGCAGAAGATCGTATTAGAGCAGTGGTTCTCAACCTTTTTAATGCTGCGACCCCCAACCGGTCGTAAGTCGAAGCCTACTCAACCGGTCGTAAGTCGAGGACTACTCAACTGGTGCAGCACCGTTTGCAGAATGGAACTTTTGGCGGGCTCAGCAGGGCAGAGACAGCCTGGACAATTCCTATTGGCTTTTGAAAGCCAATAGAATTAGACTCTATTCAAAAGAGTCTATTCTATTGGCTTTCAAAAGCCAATAGAATAAAAGGGAGTAGCACAGCTAAGGAAAAGGGGAAAAGAAAATGGCGGACTGCGTTGTTTGGCGACCCCCGTGAAATGGTCGTTCGACCCCAAATGGGGTCCCGATCCACAGGGTGAGAACCACTGAACTAGAGGCTACCATCTATAAACAACGTTTGTAATTAAAATCTGCATTCAGAAATGACTCTTCAGGCCTTGTTTCCAGAGTTCTGCAGACTGTTTAGTCCTCTTTAATCAAACATCAATGATCTTGAAAAGCTAAGCAGGATCAGACCTAATTGATATTAGGACATCCCAAGGTAGTGGGCTAGAGTGGGAATTAAAAATCCTAGAAAGCAACACAAAATCCTTTCTGTATTGCTGTCAAAAAAACTAGAGGGACATGCCTAGGCTAAAACGTGAGACCTCTTCTTGAAGGAAACATCTCCATTATTTACTCCAAGCTGCCCAATAAGCAAATCTAAATATTACATACAAGGAGCACTTCAAAATAAATTTAACTAAAAAGCTAGGTTAGGTATGTTCAAAACTATAGAAAGAACCTATGCACTCTTATATTCTATTTATAGAGTCATCTTGTTCGATGGGTCCAAGCAAAATATGTAATCTGTAAAACCAAGCACAGTCTCCTTGCCCCTTGCGCTGGGTTTATCATGGTTAAAAAGCGATACAGGGAGTTCACTTATTTCTGGGGTTCATTATGTTGCTGCTGACAGTCTTCAAAGAAATTGACAGTGATATCCCTAATCCTCCTCACCATCCATCACCTGATTCTCTGAACAATGCTATCTGATAAACCCAACTAAGCTAGTTTGGCATTGATATATAGAGAAACAGCCTGTTTGCCAAATTCAATTTTTCACCATAGTACTCTAAATATTTACTTCTAGAATAACATTAATAATGGGAAGCATAAGGGCCAGCATTAAGACCAAGATGAGGAAGGAGAGACACAAAATCAGAATCAGAAGAAAGAGGCATAGAAAGACAGAGAGAATTTGGTTTCACTAGCTGCTACTTGAAATAATTTCTGTATTCAGCCATGGAAGATTAGATTATTTTCTAAACTCTCTTTTCTGCTGTGTTTCTGCTACTTTTTTTTTTTTCATTTTGTCCAAGTCTATACTCAAGGCAAGTCATCTGGTAGCATCTGAAGGCTACAGAATGAATTGTATTTCTTTAGACTGCAAATGGGAATCCTTTCAATTCTTTATTTAAAGCAGAAATCCTTAGTTTTTTTAAAGTCGTTCTAACTTTCCTCTGCACTGAGCTCATTCTGTGCAGACAATGTACTTTGTCCAGAAAGATTTCCAAATATTGTCCTCTAATCTTATAAGTCCTCTCTGCTAACTTGGGCTCAGCCACCTCATTCTGTTGTTCTTGCAGATGAACACACTGCATGTATTTTATTATGTGGTCAGGGGAAAAAAACAAGACTGAAATGGGATAAATCCTTGCTTAAACATAGGCAAATGAGTTTTTAAAACCCCTTATTTCAGAGAAGCTAACGCAATGAAGCTTTATAGTGAAAAGACTAGCCTTTAAAAAAAAAAAAAGGTGTACTGCAGTATAGATATAAGCATAGCAAAATTAGCATCTTAAGAGAAGCCCATCTAAACCTAAAATTTGCCAGAAAGTACAATTTGGGCTGTAAATTTCCCTGGCCATTTAAACCAACCAACCAACAAACAAACAAATTGCCATTTTCTTAACTAGTCTGATAAAAAGTCCTACAGATTTTGTTTTTCTCCAGTGTAAATTAAGACAGTTTCCATAGACGATTGAACTGTGCAAAGGACAATGCAGACTCTAATCCTAGGTCTTCATCCAACAGAAGTCAACTATACGTTGTATTTTCACCCAGAATATTCAGACATCGAAGAGGTATGACAGTTGAAACAAGCAAAAGATTATTTTTTTTTCCTCTCTTGGTGTGTTTGAATAATTTCTAATAACACACTAGTAACAGGTCCTAACGGTCATAAACCTCAGCTCAAAATCTCGTTAGTTTTGCTGCATCCAATAATATGCCAACCGACTCTGTCAACTAATACCATGTTTCCTTCCTCTAGTGAATTCTAAATAAACACTACATACAGTAAATGCACACACCGTCTCTTGCTTCTATGGTTTCTTTTTCATATATACGAATACAGAAATATCTCATATATATGAATAAATAATATTGGGAGAACCAGGTTTGTACAATTAAATCAATCGTATTCCCCTTCCAAAAAGTATACAAGCAGAAGCTACAGTTCTTGCCCGGTTCTTAATTGCCCATCTCTGCAAAAGGTGCAGAGAAAGCTTGAAAAAAAGGATGAGGAGGGTTAAATTGAGATATTTGCTTTTCGCCATTCCCACCGGTTTATTCTAAGATATCTCCTCTCCCTGTGGATTACATTATAGTAGAAGACTATGTGGGAGATGTAACTCGCTCCTCACTATGGTCAAGGACTTCACCCTGGATTTTGTCTTTTCACAGATCACACCAGAGTCACAGGTATCATGTGCTCATCACTCCCGTGTCACCGATCAGAGCTTGGATCCTGAAAGTCTAAGACACACCAACCTGTGCTTCAATTTCTCCTCGTTCCCCGCATTTGAAATCTAATCTTTTCTCCTCCTTATTTCCCTCTTCCCTGGCTGGTGCTACTCTAAAGTAAGGTTGCGTGCCCACTGGAATCATCATGATCTACGTTGTTCAGAATAGCTGTCTGGTCTTCAGGAACCTGACGGTGACAGAGATCATCCTTCAGAGCGGAGAGGCGGGCAAAGGGATCCTGGCGAGAGTGTCTCTTCTTCTTACGTAGACAGACAGCTTCGTCAGGCCACAATACCTGAGAGTTAGGATGAGGTTGAACCTGGGAGGCAGAACCATCTGCAGGAGAAAGCAAAGAGGAAGAAGGAGTTGGTTAATCTCTGGTACCGGTCTTACGAGAGGACATTAACTCTTTGCTGTTCTCTCTTTAAGCCAACAAAAAGCAGGCTGGCCTCACTGTAAATCAACACACACACACACACACACACACACACACAACCTAAGATATCACCAAGCTGCAGGTATGAGAAGCTTGAGCTGTAGGAATGTCAGCAAGGAAGGCACGGAGATGGTCTTGGTGAAGATGAAGATGATTTTCACTCATACCAACATGGTGGTGGGGAAAAAAACCCAGCTCTAACGATTGCAGCAAGATGGATAAGCCTTAAAAGACATCATCAAGTAACAAAACAAATAATAATTTAAAAGAGGAGGAACCAGGAAAAGTTATTGAGGAGCAGGGGTCAAAGGGAGGATGGACTATGAGAAGTTTGCATGAGACCCTCCCTCCCCCGGGAAATACTGGCTGTAGGGACTGAGGTTAGGAGAACTAGAAGCTAGTTTTGGTCTAAGGCAGTTTTCTCCAGCCAACCATCACTGGACAGATGGAACACCTCATCAAATACTACAGCCAAGATGGCCATTGCTAAGAAATCTGGGATCTGAAGTCTACACATCTACAAGGCACCCGGGATGCAGAAGGGTAGCCAAAGGAATGAGGCAAAACTCAAGGAGATGTTTCAGTTCTGAAGGACCAAGCTTAGAGGGTCACCCAACAATCTCTATTATGGGTTGCCCCCAAAACCACGTAGCTACGTTCAGGCCCATAGAGAGAGAGAGAGAGAGAAGCAATTCCCATTACAAGTCATTGACTTCAATGAGCATTGTGCCAGGTGGGGGAGGGGCAGCGGGAGAGGCAGGGGAGCG